CGGAATGACGGTTGGGTGGTTCAAAGCCAGCCTGCTAAAGGTGGCCACGGAATGCTGGTGTCCCTGGCGGCTGTGTGGCTAATGCTTCCTCACTCGGCATTCTCGAATTTGGAATTCTGATACCGACACCCACAGCAGGCCTGCAGCAAAGGACCAGAAAATAAATAGTAAAAAAGTGAGACTATGTCTTGCGCCCAAGGAGCTCACAGTTGCTACTGTATAGATGGATAAACTGAGTTTCCAAGCAGCAATGTGATCTCCTTAATGTCAAACCGCTAGTCAGTAGTGAAGCTGGGCAAAAGCCCCCTTGGAATTTTCTCATTTTACCACTTATCTGGTGGCACAAAGGAGGGACAACATTCCTGCTGCTTCTTTTGTTCCATTTTAAAAGCAAAACTTGTTCTAACCGGCCGCCCTCTCTCCCAGGATGTGGTTACAGCTGATGCTGGAGCCCCGTCCCGCGCTGTCCACTATGATCTTGCCGCTCATGGTCAGCACGCTGATGGTTCCCTGGGCTGGTGAGTAATGAAATTTGATGATTTTCCAGCTCAGCCTGCAATCGCTCACTAGGAACACTGGGAGGGATTAGCAAATCCCGTCTACTTACTTCCAGTGCCTTTGTGCCTTTCTGCCTGAGTGACGGAATCCAACATTCTGACGGCTGCAGGCTGCAGGTGTTCATATTTCAGCACCCAACACAGCACCTGAAAGTGTGGTAAGGGAGCTGGAGCAGAGGATGAGGTGGACCAAGGTGGCCTTGGAGACCGAGATTAGAAGTGTCCCTTCCCCCGAAAGCACAGCTCTCCTTTGAGCTACTGTGCCAAGGTTTCCTTGCAGCACGTTGGCCTTCCTGACTAGTTCGTTCAGCTCTTTGTCACTGGGACATAACAGTGACACCCACAGTTAAAGAGGAGATGTACTTTTGGCTCATGGTTTCAGGGGATTTAGTCCATGTTCAGTTGACTGGCTGCAAAGCAGAAACAGAATAAAAGTGCTGTGTACATCGCAAAGAGGCCCATGAAGGCCGAGAAGCAGGGCAGAGGAGCACCAGAGAAGAAGGGGCAAGGAGCCTTATATAGTGCCCAAGGCCATGCCCCAGACCCACCTAGATGCACCCAGAAGTGTGGCTCACCAAACTCCTGTGTGGCTCCAAAGCCAATCAAGTTGACATTGCCCTGTGACCACCTCAGGGATGTATACGAGTGTCCCTTCCCCTGAGCTGGAGCATGCTGGGTCAATAGCTAATACATCCCTCTTCACCTGCTAAAGTGATCCCCAAGACATGTGTGGTGTCATGCCTGGAATCCCAGTACTTAGCAGGCTGAGGGTAGAGGATCACTGCAAATGCAAGGCCTGTCAAGGCTACATAATGGGTTTATGGCCAGCTTCAACTAATAGTGAGGTCCTATCTCAAAATAATTAATTAGTTAACTAAAAACAAAATAAAATGAGCCCCAAATCACCAAAACCTGAAGACACCTGAGCACGCTCCTTGGCAGCCTGAGTGGGAATGTCAAGTTTACTTGGAGCCTCGTCTAGGAACCTGGGCGCTGCGCCCCTTTTCTACCTGCTTCCTTGATTGTTTGTGCAGCTCTCAAACACCTGCCCTTCTGCTCTCCTCCGTCTACCTGGCTGGGCTGCAATCGTTAGCATCACTCATGATCTGAACATTTTTTATCTTCTTCATTTTTGTTGCTGCAACAAAATACAGTACGCCCAAAGTTAAAGGAGGAAAGGTTTATTTTCGCTTGTTTGTAGAGGTTTCAGTCCTTGGTTAGCTGGCTCCAAGCCAAGCCAGTGAAGCAGAAAAGCAATGCAGAGGAGAAACAGCCCATGGCAGGATAGGCAGGAGGCAGCAAGCAGTGAGCAGCAGCGGCAGCAGTGGCAGCCGGCCTTCCTCCTTCCCCTTTGAATTCCAGCCATGGCACAAGCCAATTGGTTGGTGCCAGGGAGGGAATTCCATTACCCGCATCCAGAACTGTGCTAAACCAATCTAGTTATCACACACCCTTAATCCATATTCACACACTAGATCTAGCCACCTCTGAGAAGCCACACCTATGGGAGCGTGAGGTTTGGGGGAACATCTAGACACAAGCTATAACACTTCTCATATTGAGGGAAATCCTAGACCAACACATTGACTCCCCAACACCTCTCAACAGCAGCAATGAAAGAGGTGATGTGAATCCATGTCTCTTTACAGATCATCTGTTAACCACAACTCAAGTTAGTGAACAATATCAGAGGTCTACACTGTAGGCGAGAAGTCCCCAAGTTACAATTACAACCCAAGATCAAAGCCTTTCCTGCGGGTCCATCTCAGCCTGTCCCTCCCAAACACAGTGGACCAACCACTTATCACTCCTGTCTTCTGTCTTGTATGCTTTTTCCTGATTAAACATCTGCTCTGATTTGCGTCCCACTGCCAGGTGACTGGGGCAGATATTAGCCACTCAGTCTTTATCCAGACCTCAATTCAACCTAATGAAATCCAACTACGATTTTTCCATGCTTTATTTATGATGACAACAAAGTGAAATAGTCTTCTATAGTTTTTCAGTCTCTTCTCTATTTTTTTCTTTCAAATAAGATTTTATCCATCACAACCTTTTTCCTGATTTTTGCTTAAAGCTTATTTCCTTTAATAACCTACATTTTTCTTTTTAAAAAACAATATATTTCACTTTCTTCAAAACTGACATTCTCTACTACATTTTTGGTGTCTTTTTTTTTTCCTGTCAATTTGAGATCATTAAACAGTTTCCTCTCTATTCTTGCTTTGCTTCTTTATCCTCTTTTATTGGTTTGTTACTATATTACACTAATAAAAATATCTCCTATTATCAAAAACTGTTTCACAAACATTTCTGGCATTCCTTGGTTTGACTCTTAAAAGCAAAAATCTACCATTCCAAAAAGTATAGTCATTCAGAATTGAAATGCAAGCATACAGATTTATGTGTGCTTTGAGTGTTCTGTATTCACTGCCCCAATTTTACAGGGTACGAGTTGTTACCACCGCCAAGTCAGGACCCCCACTCAGTGAACTCACCTGTTCTGGGTCCAGACGCTGCAGGGGAAGGACTGCTGCTGAGGTTTCTGCCCTAAAAAGTGTGTTCATCCAAGTCTCAGAAAATGGACACCAAGACCAGAAGGAGCTCATGAAAGTTTCATCCGAGAAATCACCCAAACAGGAGAGGAACCAGGAAAGATGAAGAAGCACAAGACAGCCCTCAGCGGGGGGAGGGCAGAGCAGCAGGGGAAGGGGATGCACCCAGACTGCTGTGCAGTCTGAGGACAGTACATGGTGACCCGGAGGCACAGTCTGCCTGAGGAGCACTGTGTCCCACAACCCTGTCCACAGTGATAGAGCCACCTGCCCACGATGACTCATTGGCTGGGCTTAGCCATGGGGCCGGGGTCATAGAGGCAACGCTGCCTTGGGCTCTAGAGCACACAGTCACAGGCCCTGTGCTCTTTGAGCTTCAGTGGTTAGAGCTCTGTGTTCCCTGCTCCTGGCTGCCCCAGAAAATCAGTCAGGTTCCAAAGCAAGCCTTATGGATATTGATGATGGGGAACATCTCCATGCATGACAAGGTCTCTCCCTGCATCATTTCTCTGCCCCTGTGTCACAGGATGAGTAGTAGCTTCCCTCTGCAGAGCTGGGGAGACCACTGTCCTGCCCTCCTCAGTTGTGCTGGCTCTGGCATCAGGGCAGAACTCAGCAGTGGGAGGTTCAGAGGCTGCTGTTAGTAGGAGGCATCCCTTGGACTCTTTACCTGGGTTGCCCTTGAGCTTATTTTGCAGTGCCTAACCTCTGTGCTCATCTTCCAGAACATCTGGGAACAGGCTTGGCAGAAAGCTGGGTATGAGGCCTTTCCAGATAATCTGGGTAGAAACTCATTTTATATTGAGAAATCCCACTCAAAGTCATTCACACTTGATCATTCTACCTGTAGGCCTAACATCTACTTCTGCTCACAAGTTACTAAAGGGAAATCTCATGATTTTTGGAGAGTCCTATGCAATTGTCATAGGCCATTTGTTGGTGCAGATCAACTATTTTATGTTCATTTATTCACTCAACAGTTAAGTAGGGATCTGCTTTTCTCTTTCTCTTTCTCTCTCTCTCTCTCTCTCTCTCTCTTTCTCTCTCTCTTTCTCATGTACTCTTGATGTAAATGTGTATATTCATCATTTTACACATTTCATATATATCCACAGAGATATGTGATATATATCATGTGCATTTCACTACTTACCTTCACTTAGTCCCTCCTGGGGTGGAGAAGACAGCTACATAGTCAGGTCATTGCAGTACAAGGTGGGCATATGACATTGTGGTAGCACGGTGGTATCCCCAGCCCTGCTCAGGTTGTGGATGAAGTTAGGTAATAGGTCAGTGGTGCTTCTTGAACTTCAAGTGGAACTATGGTAGGCCACTAAGAGATAGCAGGGCAATGGAGGGCAGGGAACCCCAGGTTCAGGGCACAGCACAAGTAAGGACAGGGAGGAACCTTATGTCTCCATTGACAGAATCTACAGGCATGGCATGGATGTAAGGTGCAAGATGAGATGTGGCTTGGCAGAGTCCATGAGGGCCATAAGGAAGAAATCCAGCAAGTCAGGCCAGAAGAGACTGGCACTGTAGTACCAAGCTCCACTTTGTTGAGCCTCCTGCCCTGGGAGAGGCCAAGACCAGGTGGTGCATGCATGATTGGCACCAGCCCTCCTCTTGAATGGTGCAGGAGCCATGACCTTGCTGCCCCTAAGGACAAAACTCCCGTGCAACAGTCCTTCTCTCCGAGGCACATAGTCCTTCTGCTGCCTCTCATACTGCAGCTTTATCTCTCCTTCCCAAGCCCCCAGCCTTGGACAGACTTGGAACCAGGGCAGTGAGGAGATTCCTGTCCTTGAGAGACTCACAGGCTAACAGGAGAGACACAAACAAGGAGATCCTGAGGGTCAGCATGAGAAGGATCAGCATGAGAGGCACAATGGATGGGAGGTCAAGGGAACAAGCAATGAGTTGTCCACTGTCCCCTGGATTGGAAGAAGAAGTGAGGAAGGATTTGTACGTGGTGGTAAGTGGTGAGCAGGGGTCAGCCAGGCTCCATCATGGTCAAGTCACATGGCAGAGGTCACATCCCATGCAAATGTCCGGAATACGTGGGGCGAATAGAGTGGTTCAGAATGATTGCAGTGCAAAGACCAGGGCGATACCAACCAACCGATGGTGGACCCCAGAGGTAATGTGCATTTTCACAGCAGTGTGCCTTCCCATCTTTCTTGCCTGAGGAACTTTTAATTGCTCCAAACCATCTCCAAATGCCCTCCACTGACTGGGTGAAGCTGCCCTGATATCCTGTGAACAACATGCTGCCACCTGGCGATTCTCTTTCTGCAATGAGTGTCTGTCACATGGGCCTAGGGAGAGTCTAGGGCCCTCATCTTTTGATCAGGAAAGGCCCATGTGACGCCAGGCCCTGTTTCCTCTTATTTTACAGGGCTGAAGCCAGACTCTAGAGAGGTTGCACCTGCCCAAGGCAAAGATCATAGGAAGCTGAAAATGAGGGCCTCCAACTAACTCCCTTTACCAGATTTCTGGAAAGAATTTTATTAGAAGACAATGAAAGTGGCAGCCTGAGAACTTTATTTTATTTTATTTTTTTGTTGCTACCAGGGATCGAACTCACGACTGCCTGCTTGCAAGGCAGGTGCTTATGTTGCTGAGCTAAATCCCCAGCCCCAGCTTGAGAACTTTAGCTAAAGGAGTAACAGAAGAATGAGGGCCAGACAGCTGGCCACCGTCCCTGTTTGCCAGGATTCCCTCTTTTTTAGCTGGTGAGTCTTAATGGGTGGTGCTTTTGCACACACGTGTATACACACATGCACATGCATGTATACACTCACCCAGCACCATTGGTTGGAGGTTAAAACTGACATGCATTGAGCAGAGGTCAGAGGCCAGGGATGCTGCCAAACATTCTCTAAGATGGTGTCTCTGATCGCCCACAACTGATTACATTCCAACCTACAGTCATGTGAGTCAATGTGAGGCTGAGAATCACCAGCCAAGCAAGACCAAGTTAGGTACGACTTGGGTGCCTTCCTGAACAGATTTACCCTCATGGATTCCCATGGATGCTGGTTCTTGCTGCTCTGTGAAATGAGGTCTCTGAAGAATGACAAGCTGAAAGGCTGGAGTACTCAGCTGTCCACTGGAGAAAGAGACAAACATCTCTAGGCAGTTTCTGACCACCTATGTGCTTTATATCAGTGGGAGGAAATGTGGGTTTGAACCTTGGGAAACAAGTCTGTTCAAGCTGGGATTCCGGCTCCCATCTCTTTGTTCATGCTGACTAAGCATCATCCCTGCACCCACCCCAAAGTGCTGGCCAAGGTAGTGGTCACATTTGAGTCCCCTATCATACTGTCTTACTGTCATTATACCTCCAAGTATATTGTTCAAAGTATGGTCTCAAGACAATCACCTTCAGAACTAGCTGAAGAGCTTGCTTAAAAATGTCTTTTTGTGAATCCCAAGCCAACCTTACTGAATCAGGCTTGAGTGAGTGCACAGGATCAGAATGTGTGAAGAGCCGTCCCAGATAGCTTCAAGGCTGGGGGATCTCCTCGTGTTCAGCTATAAACTCCTTAGTAGTTGAACCCCCTCCATGTCTTTGCTTCTTTCCACCAATGTTTCCTTCGAGAAACCCAACCTAGACATGCATCACAGTAAAACTGTGTACTTCACATGCAAAGACAACTTTTAAAAAGACCCCAAATCTGCCTGCCCCCTAACAGAGTGACACTGTGAAGGCTAGTCACCCCAAAACACCAGGACTACCCCAGACACCCCTTCATGTGCTGAGCTCCCACGCACAACAAGCACACTGCAGGTACTAATGAAATGTGCATGGAATTGAATTTTTTGGCTTCCTCCCTCTTTCTGGTTGTCACCTCCCTGTGTTGCCCAGCAGAGACTGGTGGCACTGTTTGTGCTGACCATTCTCTCTCTCTCTCTCTCTCTCTCTCTCTCTCTCTCTCTCTCTCTCTCTCTCTCTCCAGCAGGCCATGCTCTGGACACCCCACACTTCCCACAGGAGCTGACTTCAGCACTCTCAAAAAACATCAGTAAGGATTCTTTGAACTTTCTTTGGGGATTTTGTATAAAGTTGTCTAGGATTTTGGCAAAGAAAATATGCCTTCTGAATATACCCTAGAGCTACTTACTGGTGTAGCATCTGTGAGTAAAGGGATTCAAGTGGGCCCCAGAAGCATTTTTCTGGTGGTCTCCTTGGGGTCAGGCCTAGCATTAGAGCCTTGCCACCCTTCTCCAACAGAAGATTCAGAGCCCTCACTCCACACAGCAGCACAGGAGAGCCTGACAGCAGCTCAGGGTGAAGGACAGTCTCCCATGGAGTCACCACAGACCAGCGAAGGCCTAGCAGCTTCATTCTCCATAGGAACCAACATCCCTAGTAACAACCCATAGCTGCTTTCTCCATGCTGCCTGGGAGAAGCATGCCCAGGAAGAGATTCACCACACTGACTTAGAGACCCTAGAATGATATATCAACAGCACCTATAGTGCCTAGTTTTTCCCAGTCCAGACACGCTTTACCATCCAGGGGCTGTTACTACCACGAGCAACACTGCCTAGTAACACAGTTCAAAGTTCATCTTTACCAGGCTTCGAGGTAACCTGCATCCAAGAAAGTTACCTTAAGATCAAATTGGTCCTTAGGAAAGGAGAAAAGGTTTGAGTTCACTAGGTAGGGAGTGGGGAAGGGGGACAAAGCAACACCCTTTAATTATTTCATCTTTCCTCCACTTAGATATCACATTCTTCAGTGGGATGTTCAAGAATGTGGAAAGTGTGGCTGAAATATTTGGTAAGTTAAAATTGCTTTCATCTACCAAGTGTCAGGCGTGGAGTATGCTCAAGAAATCTGAGGGGGTGACCAGGACCCTGCCCCTGCCTCTGAGCATCCAGAGCCTTCCCAGCCAGCTCCCGACATGTCACTAGGGCCTGGCAAGAGTAGTGATGGCTTTGTTTCCTGTGAGTTAGTCACTTACCACAAGCTTTCATGTTCTTTACTTCATTGTCCTGTCTACAGACCTTCCAGGAGGGGCATGGTGCAGTCATTTCAAGATCAGAAAGCTGAGCCCACAAGAATTAAATGACTTTCCAAGGGCCACAGAGCTAGAAAGGAGCTACTCTTTCTGAGTCCAGAACTGAGCCCCGTACCAAAGTACATTTACCCCCTTCACGGCCAACTAGTAAATATACATAGAGCTATAGAAATTTAAAATCTGTCAGATATTCTATTTATTGCTTTCATATCTATTATGCATCTATTTGGACACCATGATGGTCCCTACCATCAACTTTTAATCACACCCCAAAATAAGAAGACATCAGGACTCGCCTCAGGAGAGCTGGGAACTGCTGTTGGTTTGGGCCATTCTGGGTGTGATGCTCCATGTCGAAAGTGTGCATGACTGAGTGCAGCTGCCCTGTGTGTTACTGAATGAAAACGCATGTGTACACGTTCACATAAACACACACAGAGGCTTGGTTCACCAATGTAGAATCACATTTTCATTTTTCTGTCAAGACTTTGTGAAAAGGAAGTTTGAATGAGACAGGAAGAGAATAAAATGGTCAGCTGGAGCTGGTCCCCACAGTCTGCTCCTTGACTGCCCCAGGATCCCACTTTCAAGGCTGCTCATTATCAATAGTGAGGGGTAGTATCTGATCACAAAGGTAGATAATGGGGAGAATGAGCATAAGGGTTAGAATCAGAAGTCAAGATCGTTTCCTTACCAATTTTGCCTCTGGTCAATTTTAAGGAAAATTACCATTCCTGTTTGGTCACTTGTGCATATCTCCAACCTTCAGTGTTGTCTTTGGCTGTGAAATGGAGGGTCACATTAGAATCCACCTGGCAGAGTTAACATGAAATTTATGGCACAATAGACAATGGAAATGCTCCCTAACATGTTATATACTCTGTGAATCTTAACTATTGTGCTATTGAAACTGCCTAGTATAGTTACTGATACACAATAAGGAGTCAAAATACCCTTTTCCTTTCTAAACTGACGGATGATTTTAGGGTGCCCAGCACTATGTCATTTGAGATCTATTTGCAAATTAGTGGTGCCTCACACCATAAAGATGCTTCAGGACTTTACACAAGGAGTCTGAAGATACCAGGACCAGTACAATAGTTCAACACAAATGTCAGAGACCCAGAAGGCTCACTCTAACTTGCTCCACTGCCACATGGAACATATTTGATTACTAAAGCTTTTAACTTCATGATTATTTTGGTGTTTTTGAGACAAAGTCTTACTATGTCTAACTTTGTGCTTTGAGCCTCATGGTTACAATGTGGTTGCACCAGTTCCAGTCACAATACTTATATTTGAGAAATGATCTTTTGTATATGCCTTTATTCTTTATTGAACAAATATTTTGCAGAGTTCTTTGCAGAGAAAAATCTGTGTCTCTGTCTGCATGTCTACCTACCTATTTATTTTTAGCTAGATCTAGGTGACCCACTCTGCCCTAAACCAACCACTGGCATGGAAGCATGGGATAACTATAATCAACTGAGAATGGGAGAAACTTAGGGACATTTGCCTTCCCTGAGCACTTACCAGTTTTTGTTTGAAGAAATAAAAAATAAATAGCTGTTAGGTGGGAAAGTATTAAAGGTCATGCTTACAAGCCTGCTGCCCTTCTATTTTCCAGAACAGCACCAAGTATTCAGTAGGTGCTTGCTATACTGAGATGCTCCATCCTTTCCAAATTTACGAAGTGCCGGGGTGGGGCCCATCCCAGACTGCAGCTCCCCATGCTCACCTAGCATTGCCTTTCCCCCCTTCAGACTGCCTGGGCCCCCATTTCAGCTGGCTGCAGGCTGTCTTCACCAATTTCCCTCTGCTGCTCCAATTCGTGAACGGCATGCAGTGTGTGGCTGGTCTTTGCCCGCGGGACTTCGAGGACTATGGCTGTGCCTGCAGGTTTGAGATGGAAGGACAGCCCGTGGATGAATCTGACAGGTGAGCAGGATCCACGGGTGAGCTCCTGGGGCCCTGGCTGGTACCTTGGACAGAGCTCAACTGTAGCGAGTCCCTAAACAAGGGACTCAGAAGGGGTCTTTATTCCATCACCCCACAGCAGGTCACTGGTTTCCCCTCTTCCCATTGCCATTAAATCCATGATCTGCTTCCACCCCAGCAGTTACCAAGAGCCTGTGAAAGGACCAGTATGCAATGCTGCATTGCAGTGTTTCTTGGAGATTGGGTCCATCTGGCAAGCCAGTAAAATATGGGACGGATTCCTGACATCCGTTCCCAGATCATTTGACTTAGAACACTGTTAGGTGAAAACCTGGAATTCTGAGTTTTAAACAAGCTACCCTGAACAAAACAAAACAAAAAACTCCTGCAATTTTCTACATAACAAAACTTAAGAATTATTTTTGTTTGAAGCTGCTTTGGCCACCAGACTTAAGATAACCTTGAAGGTTTCTATTCAATTTTTCAACAAATATAAACCCAAAACAAAAAAAATATAAGAGCATTATGCTTCAGAGAAACAGAATTCTACTTCTTCTTTAAAGAGAGAAAGTCTACTAGGAAAAAAATAAAAAATAATGGGACAATAAAGACATGCTCTGTACCTACACTCAAATCAGTTCAAATTCAAATACAACACTAAGATTGGCAATGAAATCTGAAACGTGAAGGCATTTGATGTTAGCAAGTCAAACCCATTGGGTATGGGTGGCAGGAGGATCAACTGGGCTGCTCCCCAATATGGGAATATGGTGCTGTTATAAACTTAATGCCTATTAAATAGGGCCAGATAATTCCGTGTTCTGCTCAATGTTGACTTTGTGATCGTAGGCAAGTTACTGTAATGTGTTTGTATAACATGTTTGTATCCCACTACCTTTATCTATAAAGTATAGCTAATAATAACACCTACTCCAGAGTGTTATTGCTGAGGCTTAAATTATTAAATTTAAATTAAAGTGATTGTGACTCTGCCTGCCTCATGGGCACCAGTGATTGGCAGCGATGGCTGCAGTAACAGCCATCGTAGGAGCAATCATAGCAGTGACAGTGGTTGCAGCAGCAGCAGTGTAGCTGCCATCAAACTAGAATGAGCAGAGGCAGGAATGCTAGCAAGGGCGCCTGCAGCAGCAGTGTTCTAGCAGCACCTGTGGAGGAGTAGTAGTGAAAACAGCTCTGTAGTCATAGTAGCAGCAGCAGCAATAATGGCAACTGCATGGAATTAGAACCTGTAGTCAGATTTTTATTACAGTGACAAAATACCCGAGGAAATCAGCTTAAAGGAGGCTCATGGTTTCAGTGCATGGTTTTCAGGCTCAGGAAGAAATACGATGGTGGAAAGGCATGGTGAGGGAAAACACCTCGATTCATGGCACCCAGGAAGCAGAGAGCTAGGGAAGAGCTAGAGAAGCAGGAGCTGGGGACCAGATACAGGTCTCAAGGCCATGCCCCAAGACCTGCTTCCTGCAACCAGGTCCTACCTCCTAATAGCCTACTCAACAGTGACCCCTTTAAGGTATGAATCCTTTGATGATGTTCACACCATCATGAGCCAATGACCTCTCTGGCCCCACTTCTGAACATCGCTGCATTGGCATGGAGCTCTCACTAGTGAGTCTGGGGAAACACTTCACATTTAAGTAGTAATGCCCAGTCTTCATGCCTCAGACAGCTGATGCTACCCCGGACCCAAGTTCAGCACTTTCACCTATGTGGGCCCCTAGAAGGTAGGGAAGGCAACCCCTTGGTAAAGCACTGGACAGCTCACAGCTTCCCTGGTACTGCTTCTTGAGGACACCCTCTCCAGATGCTCTGACTCCTATGTACCAGGGTAGCCTCTGTACTCCACAGACATCTGGGCTTCTTTTTCTTGCACCCATCTCAGAGGCAGAAATGTGTGCACAGTTCCCATCTTCCTCTACTCAGTGTCCTCAGAGAAGGCCTCATCATATCCTTTCCTTGTGCTCCCAGCACTGACCACAGCATGTGGTGCAAAGGAACAGCTCCATAAGTCACCTGACCGCCTCGGCTGACACTCTCCAGTCATGTTTCACAGCTGAAAACTGGTTAAACTGATTAATTACAACATCACGTATTCTTGACTGACAAAGAACAATGGTTTTATAATTAACAAATCTGTCCCAGCTCTGGGTTTGCAAGAGAGACTGCAAGCTGCCTCTAGACCAACAGAGCAGCTTCACGCTTTAGGAACCACAAGCAACCCGACTTTTGTGGTTGTTGATATTTAGTGGGAACAGGTTGGGTCTGTGTGAGGTGAGGCCAGGGCCATGTTAAGAAACACTTTTCCCTTTCAGGCCCTCCCTCACTATGTCCTTTATTTTTTACAACAACCTTCTAAACCTAGAAGTGCAAACAAATGAAACAGGAATTCATTCCCGGCTTCAACCTAAAAGACAGGATCAACTGGCCAGTGTCCCCAAACTGGCAGAATAGTGGCCTGAAGCAAATTTCAATTCCTCTATACATTTAAGATTGACATGGACAGGGATTTCCAAACTCCCAGAGGACAGGTTCTCCCACATTGAATGTGTGTACTAGATTCCAAAAATAACTGCAACTATTTATTAAGTGCCTACTGGGTGGCAGGATCTAGACAGACATTTTCTTGAATCCAAAGAACTTTTGCAGGTTAAGTAGTATGAACAATTCAGTGTCTTATCCAAAGTCACCATCTGTTTGTGTATATTTTTTTCTCTTTTCTGTTTTTCATCAATGTCCTATCTGCATTGCAAAAGTCACCTGACCTCCTAGTTTCACTGTTATCTTGCTCTGTGACCTTAGTCAAGTGACAGAGCACATGTGTCCCTGTGTAAATGCTCACAGTAATCACTGCCCCTACTGTATAGGTTCCATGTGATGACTAAGCAAGTTAACATGCATCAATATGTAGAATAAAATCTGGTTCATGTGGGCACCCAACAGATATTATTCCTTTGCTGCAACCAAAGGAATAATAAGCAGTGTCATCCTTCCTGTTGAAAAGAGGTGTGTGATGTTAAGGGTTCCTTCCCAGCCCAGTTTCGGGCCCCGGGGTGGGGTTCCCACCGTCCTCTAGTAGACCCTACCTCTACTTCACATTAACTTCTCCAGTCCCAGAATTCGGATCCTGCCTTGGTCCCAGACCTGAGACTCCATTCACAGCAGGCTTTTACATGAGTGTTAGACATAAGGTGCCTAGAACAGCCCCTAGAGTGTGCAGGAGTGTTACCTCCAAGAAGTGACTTGAAAGATACACTTTAAAAAAATTTTTTAAAATGTAGTAAAAAAAAACACACTCCCCTTACCCTCTCATGAATGCTTCACCTTGCTTGAACACACTTATTCCACTATTCTTACCACTTTCTACAGGAGCTCTGGATGTCCTCTTTCAAGTCTTTAGTTGTCCTATTATGGCTGCCTCCATGTGGTGACCTGATTAAACATTTACTTTGCATGGTCATTTTGACTCTGGGGAAGAACAAGAAGTCACACAGCACCAGATCTGGAAAATTAGGTGGATAAAGGTACACCATACTGTTTAACAGTCTACTTTTCAGTCAGCTTGCACTGATAGCAGAACCCACGATGATTTCTTCTTGTGAAGACATTCACAAGAGAGGACTTCCAGAACTGCTTCAGAAAGCAGAAGGAGCAGTGGGATGAGTGTCTTGGAAGCAAGAGGGGATATCTGGAGGGGAGTTAAGAGCAGTGTCTTTTATTTGAATACATCTTTAAATTTTAACATTAACCATATATTTTGACCATCCCTTGGAGGACTGGTGATTACCTCCAACTCAATTACAAATAAAGTTACTTTGAAAAGAAGTAAGCAACTTGCTCTAGTCAAATTCCAGGAAATCAATTGGTAGAGCCCTGATTCAGATCTTCCAGTTCCTGCTTCAAAGCCAAAGCAGCACTCCCATCCCAGAAGTAGCAGAGCTGCTACCTTGTGGGGGGCAGTGTCCCTCCCCACAGTGCAAGCTCTTAGGTTGGGGAAGGGCAGTGGAGAGCCACAGCTCTTCCCTTGATGGCCTAGAAAGCAGGGGCTCCCAGCCTGGGGCATCAGCTATATGCTCACTGCCTAAAGAATCCTCCTCTTCTCCCCCCACCCTCTTCTTTCTCGTCCTCCTCCTCCTCTTCGTCCTCCTCCTCGTCCTCCTCCTCCTCCTTTTCCTCCTCCTCCTCCTCCTCCTCCTCCTCCTCTTCCTCCTTCTCCTCCTCTTGCTGGTTTCCAGCAGACAATGTTAGAAGCTCGTGAGTCCAACTGGAATCCAAGGGCCTCCCACATTCCCCTCAGCCAACAGAACTGTCCATTTACAACCAGTTTTCAGAGAATGAAGACTTTCATGGCTCTCTGCTTTATCTAATTCACACTTCATTCTTTGCTTTAGCAGCTGAACACCCTATTCTGGAGAACAGTGCCCTAGGTCTATGCTCTGAGCCTGATGTATACTACAGTCTCTGTCAAATCAGTCCTGACTTTACCCCTAACTTGCTATGTGACCTCATAGAAGTACTTCCTCTCTTTGGCCCCAAAGAAATCGCATGTTCCTACCTAAGTGTCCCTGAAGGGGTTCTCTGTGATAACACTCTCTGAGATAATCCAAGCTGTTTTGTGCAAGGCTGTCCTGTCCATGATGGGAAGGGATAGCGTCCAGACCGAGTCTTCATATGTAATCAACTTCCTCACCTTCAGCATACAATGCTTATTCTTTCTTCTGTCTCCATTTGCCCGCCATACATGGCAAATCTCAAACACCTGGTGTGGATGCAAGGGGAAACAGATGAACTTTCAACACAGAAGCCACCTGTCCCAGCAAAGGTCATTCTCACTATCTACCTCTTCTTTCCACTTATTGTATAGTTGCTGAGATCCATAATTTTGACTATGACATCCCAGGAGTCAAATCTTTCTGTAAAGTGTTAGGTTGTGAATTAGATCCCTAGTATCAAAGGACAAAAAAAAGCCAGGCATGATCGCATATGCCCATAATTCCAGCACTCAGGAGGCTGAGGCAGAGAGATAATTATTGTTGCAAGTTTAAGACCTGCCTGGGCTATAAAGTGAGCTCAAGGCCATCCTGAACTGCGTAGTGAAACTCTATCTCAAAAAGACAAATAAAAAAAAAATTAAAAAAAAAAAACCAAAACCCCCCAAACCAAAACCAACTAAACAAACAAAAATTTGTTTGGTTATATCCCAAAATAGACTTGGATCAGTTCTAGCAAGCAATACAACTGTGTCTGTCACCGTTAGCAAACAGGAATGGGACAGAAAAGCTGCATGAGCCAGGCAGAAGGACAGAGATGGAGAGCGGCAGCTGCTGGTTATGACATTCTGCAGCTCCTCAAGTGGATATGGCCAGCAACCGCAGGTGGTTTACTAAAGCTAAAGGTTTACTGTCCAAATGAGGAACCAGCCCGAGCCTCATCCTTACCTTCTCTTGAGTCACCTTTGCATCGTATCCTGAGGCTGACACCTAGGGCCATCTTGCTGATGACAGACACCCTTATGCTGCATGCTTTGCAGGAGCAATGCAGACCCATCACCTGAGCTTGTGAGGTAGCAGTGACCAGTGACCATGTGCTCATGTATGTGGGTGTGTGTACAAGCACGTGTATATGTATGTGTTCACATACAGAGTGTTTGAAACAGACCACTGCAGAAGACCACCCAGAGACCGGGTGTCCTTAGATGCCCGCTTCTCCCCTCTCAGCCCTGCTCTCACCACACCCCTTTCTCCTGTCCACCACAGCTGCTGCTTCCAGCATCGCCGGTGCTATGAGGAGGCTGCCGAGAGGGACTGTCTCCAAGACCCCGCCAAGCTCAGCGCAGACGTTGACTGTGTCAGCAAGAAGATAACATGTAGTGAGCATCTATGGGCATCCCCAGGGCTGGGCTGAAAAAGGACATTTGAAGGTCCCAGGCCTGGGCCAGCTGAGGGCTTCCAGGCCCACCTGCACCATCACCATCATCATCTCCTCTGGCAGCTCTTAGACACGTGAGGCGGGATGGTTGGCTCCTCCACCTTGCACGCAGTTGATCTGTTTTTAATGGAAGCAACACTTGATCAGCAGAAAATTTCACTTAAAATTTTTCCTTTTTATTAGTGCATGTTTGCAATCCTTAACAAGTACATTCATCACAGGGAATTGGTGCACATACATACTGCATCTTGATCCTTTTTGTTCTCCTCCCCGTCTTCTTCCTCCTGTCTCCTTGTATCCCCAGGTCCTCTGCTCATCTCCACATAGACTACCTTCCTGGTTCCTATCATTTTCCTTTTACTCTTTAAATTACTTAGACTTTGGGTTTCTTATATAAGTGAAACCATACAATAATATTTAACCTAATGTATCCAGTTCAATTCACTTAGCATTATGGTCTCAAGGTGCATTTTCCTAAGGATGACTCAAATTTACCTATTTTATGACTAAGCACCATTCCTTAAATACCACATTTTCTGTAGCTACTTGTTTGTTTGCAGACATATGAACCTCTCCAGGATTTACTTACAAGGAGCTGTGCTGCTGTAAACATGAGTATACATGCTTCCCTGTATATGAGGTCTTCCATCCTTTGGAAGGTTCACAAAACATGCGTACCTGGGTCAAATGGAACCTCTATTTCCAGTTTTTTGGAGAATCTCCCTACTGATTTCCACAGTGGTTATACTAGCTGCCATTTCCATCCGCGATGAGAAGCATTCATTTTTCCCTACAGGCTTTCCAGCACTTACTGATTTTTGAGTTTGTGATGGATAGCCATTCTTTTTGGAGTAAGGTGAAATTTCAGTGTTGATTTGTTTTGTGTTTTTCTAGTGACTAAAAATGCTGACCTATTTTACTTTGAAAAGTATCTGACTTATAATTTTATGGGCCATATGTACTTTGAAAAGTATCTGACTTATAATTTTACACTTGTAGCACCCTGGAGGCCTGTGAAGGGGTCGATACTTGCTACTTAGGCACCGTGTAACAGTGGAGCAATTGCTTAATTTCTCTGATGGGAAGGAGACAGTCTGCCTCAGGGAGACATTATGGGAGTTAAATTAAACAGTGATTTAAAGTGGTTAATACAGTTTTTAGCACATATTAGCAACTTGGCATTGTACACAGAGGTAGCAGTTCTGAGTGAAAGAGACTTATGGTGACTGCTCTTTGTAAGGATCAGACATGTGCAGGTTAAAATTTCAGGTCTCCACCCTGTTGGCTGTGTGACTACAGGAATTTGGTTTCATGTCTCAGGACAATCTTCCTGGAAGATGTACAGTAGCAAAGGCACAGTGAGGAGAAGGAATGACCCATGTTGGGGATAAGAGACTGGGTCAGCCCATAACACCTACCTAATGCATTCCACGGTCTTCACACATGACAGCTCTGGTCTTCCTGACAACCCTACTAGAGGGAACCATCACCTACAGTTTTCAGGCAAAGAGAAGGAAACTAAGAGATATAAAGCAACTTTCCCAAAGTCATACAGCTGCTAAGTCAAAGAACCAAGGTTAGAATCTAGATTTAACTGATTCCCCATCACAATGATGGGCTGGAGCACAGAACATCAGGAGAAGGTGGGGCAGAGGCCAGATGTGAGTCTTTAAGAAAGGCACCCAGCCAGTGCAGAAAACAGAAGTCATTCATTCCCCACCAAATATGTGTTGAGTACCTACACCAGTGCAGGAACATTGTCCCTGTGTGAGGGATCTTCTGACCTTTTGGACTGTCCTCACAATGGCCAGACATTCATCAAAGACAAATGACAGCATATTAGATGGTGACAAGAGCTTATGGAGGAAATGAGGTCAGGGAAAGGTACAGCTGGACTACAATGGGGGCTCCTTTTAAATGGGAAGGTCAAGAAAAGCCTCCCAGGCCCATGAGTGCTGAGGCAAGTTTGGGAAGAGGCAGGAGGCACCCACGGCTGGGTGGGAGGACAGTGCAGGCTGGAGCACATGCATGGGCCCTGAGGCTCTGGGTGCCTGGGGTGCTGAGAGGCATCCACAACAGTGGGGTGGTGGAAAAGAATGAGATGGAAGGGCGGGAGCTGTGAGAGGAAAATAATACCCTGGCATCTCCTAGGCCACTCTGGGAAGTCATTGGGAGGCTTCTGAGTGGGTAAATACACACTTGGATCTGAGTTTTTGTTTGTTTGTTTTGGTGCTATACTGGGAATTGAATCCCAGGCATTGGGAAGACCAGGCAAGCCCTCTGCCAGGAGCCACCGCCCAGCTCTTGACCTGAGTTTGAAAGCATGAAAACAGACTGGACACAGGGAAGGAAGCAGGAGACTAATTAGGAGGCTACTGACACAACTGGGCAGGAGTTGATGGTGGAGCACAGAGGTGGAGACATGAAGATTCTCAATCTGTTGGGAGTGGAGCCCAGAGAGTGCCAGGTGGCCTGGGTGTGAATGTGGCCCCCAAGATAGCCAGCCCAACTGAGGAGGTGGTGGTGGCATCAGCATGATGAGGAAGATTATCCTTTGGGATCACTGGGAATCTTCCCACCTTGCCCCGCCTTTGCTCTTGCAGCGTCCACAAACCCATGTGAGCACCTGCTGTGTACTTGTGACCAGGCTGCCATAGAGTGCTTGGCTCGGTCCAGCATTAACTTCTCCCTGAATCTGCTGGATCCCTCCCTCTGCCTGGATCAGACTCCAGGTAGGAAGAATGGCTCTGCACCCAAAGTGGGGACTGATGACCTGGGCAGGAGCTGATGTGGGACCAACCATTTCTGGGTATCTGCAGATGGCAATTTCAACACCTCCACACACTTCTAAATTCTGTGCCCTGAATGAACTTTCCAATGTGTTTTCCTTTCAGAGACAACCAGCCAGAAAGAGCTGGTGACACTGCTGCCTGGAGGTAAGTCTCCTCCAGGGCCCCCACGGGCCAGTAATGATGAGAGCAGGTAGAACCATGTCTTCTGCCAAGCCTAACTAGCTGAGGTCAGAACAATCCTTGGCATGAGCCAGCCCATCCCTGTCTCTCTTGCCAGGAGACCTGATATTATTTCCGTTAAACCCATGTCAAACCTCTAATCTCCAATGGCTCTAGTGTAGATTTGGTCCCTTGCTTTTGGACACTGGAAGTCTCCATAAACGGACATGGTCATGCTCTGGATCAAGGTGTAAATTTGATCCAAAGAGGATGTGCACCCCAAGTACTTTCCCCCTCCTTATTCTATGGTTAGAGCCCTAATATGCAATGCGACTAGGACAGGACCTTCTCTTGCTGGGTGAGTTCCTGGCTGAAGCAGCCTATGAGGAGCAGAATTATGTGTCATCCTCTCTTCCTCTATGTGCTTCCAAACCCACAGCAGAGGAGGCAGCCTGGCTCTCAAGGGGCTGGTAGAGGGGAAGATAGTTTCTATGTGTGTCTTTTCGGAGCAGGGCAGGTTCTTAGTAACTGTCCACAGATCTAAGCAAAGGATGATTCTTACTTTAAAATGTAGCTCTTAGGAAACACATGCAATGCACTTGGCATTACTGCCATTCCTTGGCAGAACTGCTCTCCTCTTCCTAGGCAGGGCCCTCTCTCTCAGAATTAGTTGGGCTGTTTTTGTTAAAGAGCAAGCTGGTGTGGGTGTGTCCATGTGTGCACATGCATGTACATGTCAGTGTGTAGATACATGTGTGTGGGAGTGTGCACACAGGTGTGGAGTGTGCATGGACCTGGTGGGTGTGTGCATTGTGAGAGGCTGTGAATGTGTCTGTGGGGGTGTGTGTGCATTTATGTTGTGTCTCTGTGTGCCTTCTGGATCTAGTGCTCTGTTTCTCTGCCATCCGCCCTCCCTCACGAACAGGGCTGTTTGGGGACTGTAATACCCTGTGGGTTGCAGCTTTTACACTGTCTTAAGCCCTGTCTGGCAGAACCTTCCTTCTTCCCCAAAACCTGCCAGTGGCTATGGTTCCTCCAGAGCTTTGGCCTCAATGTCTGCCCGTGGTCCAGGAGGTATAAGACAGCCAAGGAGTGCTCAGACAGAGAGACAGCTTTTCCCTGGTGGAGCCTTTCTCAGCCCTCCCCTCCCTTGGTCCAGCAGTCCCCATGCTGTGCTTTTTAGAGACTCTGGGCTTGGCTTTAACACTTGCTGCACTGTTCATTTCTATTTGAGAGTCTCTTTACCCAGGGGTTCCTGCAGAACCCACGGACACCATCCTAACAGTGCACTCAGGAGAAGGTAAGCTGACATGGGCTGGCTGTCACCCAACATCTCTCTCTCGTTTATGCTCTCGCCTGACTTTCTGGCACCAGGTCCCCTAAACTGTCCCTCATCTGCTTTGTTATGGAACAGACTCAAGTGTATTCCAGAACCCCTCCCGAGGCTCTTCATGACTTCCGTGTCTCTTCCTTACTTCCTCAGCTTTCTCTTATGTCTGGTTTCCACCCTGTGGAATTACAGGCAGCATGCAAAGTGCCAACTCAGCTAGATTTGAACTGAAATGAACAATAAATGCTTTTTATAGTGTAAGTACATTCCAGGTTGTTACAGGGACACATAGCATGCAATGCTGAAATGGTCATCTGAAGTCCCAGTTGAGATGGCCATCCTACATTTTTATTTGCTAAGCCTGGCCAGTTACCCCTTAGAGTGATCATCTGCCCTATATTTCCTGGAATCTGATGCTTCTGTTCTCTGTCACCATTGTGACTTCCTCAGGAGGACAGAAGCAGAGCTCATGCCTGGTGCATGCCTGTCTGTCCCTCAAGTGGCCAAGAGGATCTGATTTCCATCAGGTGCCACATAGTCCAGGCCTTGGGGTTCAGGATCAGAGAAGAAAATGTCACCTGCACCCACTGTACTTCCAACCCAAGCCGTGGCCATACCCAGCATGGTTGACAGCAGCAGTTTCCATTCTCTTTGGGACAAATCCTCAGCTCCAAACACAGAATCATGGCCCTACCAAACAATCACAAAATATTCCCTAATTGTACATTATGCAATGTTTGAGTGGTTCAGCTTTAAATATGATCACTTGTGGCATAGAGGAATGTGGCATTTATCTCTGGGAAAGATGCAAAGGCACTTGAGCTTCTCAAGGATTCTGAGATCCAACTGCAGGGAGACAGAGGGTACACGCACGCTCTTCCCACAGTACACACGTGTGCACACTCATGCCCTGGCCAGCTCTCACCAATGTCCTCAAACAGGTCCTTCTTATCACAGGTTCAACATGAGTCACGTTGGTGCATATGGGAGAGTCTGTGAGGGAAAGAAATGAGCGTGTCATTGTCCTCACCATCATGCAATGACACAATTTTGGATAGAACATTTTTCAGCCATGTGACTTTGGAAGAATGTTTTAACCTCACAAAGCTCCTGATCCATCATTTGTAGACAGTCAAGTCAGCAAATTTCTTCAAAGGGCCAGAAACTGAGCATCTTGGGCATTGTGGGCTGTGGAATCTGTTACTGCTTAGCTCTGTTATCTGAGCATGAACGCAGCCTTAGGTGATTTGCACAGGAATGGCTGGAGCTGTGCTGCAGGGAAACTATGTACAGAAACTATGGGCCATAACTTACCAGCCCTTGGAAGGTAAGGCTGTGGCCATCTCTCAGCACGGCATGAGGGTAAAATGAGAGTGCAGGAGAGATTCTGGACCAAGGTCTTCCAGGAATTCGTGTCACTGTACAAAACAGCACAGCATGAAGTGAATGCTGGCTCATTTGCTGATGACACATAATATCCTTTAATGCTCATGCGACCCAGTGAAATAATTGCTGCAATCTCCACTTCGGGAAAGTACATTGAGATGCAGAAGGAAACTGTCCGAAACACACAGCCGAGTGACAGGGCTGGAACTGACATGCCGGCGCCTCTCTCCTTCCTTGCAGACCACTCTCCTTCCACAGCTGCCTTCCCAGAGGGCCTTTCGAACTTCACTCCCAAAGATGCTGCTTGCTTTTCTTTCTGCTACACTCCAGGCTGGCCCTGGGTTGGGTGCTGTGCACCACGCTGGGTCCTGTTTGCATACCAGTAAGCAGTCAGATGCCCTGATCATGCTTCCGTGGAATTTTCCTTCTGCTTCTTACCCCACAGACCCATCTCTTCTGCATATGACTTCTGCCTGGCTTAGGCACCCAGGTGGGTTCGTAACAGAAGATGGGTGGTTTCTTTTCACAGCGGGCAGTGAGATCAGAGCTGAGAGACCGACCACCCTTATGAGGACAAGTAAGCAGAAGGGACCCAGGGGAGGGTGGTATGGGAGCTGATGGTGTCCAGTTCTGATGACCTCCTCTCAGTGGGGGCTGGAAGACATATGACTATACCCATTTTACAGAATATGTAGGACACCAAGGCTCAGTGGGCTTCAAAGTTGAAAGTCATTCAGCAAGTAGCTTAGTAGCCTGGTCCCTGACCTCAGACTTCAGGCTGTGAGACTGTTTTCCCATGACCCAAGAGTGACACAGTCTCCCTGAACAGTATCTATGTCAAATTTCATCAGCAGAATTACCTTGACCATTTACTTTGCTTGAAGTGATTTTAACCATGGATCCTTTATAACAAATATAATAATTCTCATTAACTGATAATAACTCTTTGCTAATCCCTCAGAATAAGTAAATGAATTCTTTGGTATTGATGGCTTCTGACATCAACACTCCTCAGAACCTTCTCTGAGTATGTCCTCACTGGTCCTGGGGCCCATTATTACACCACATAACAGACAAGGGACAGGGTCACTTGCCCAGGTAGCTTAGTTTAGCAATCCTTGATTCTGAGTGCATAGGTTTCGCTTTTTTCTGGCAGTACTAGGAATTGATCCTAGTGCCTTTTCATCGAGTTACCTCCTCAGACTCTTCAATTTATTAAAAATTACTAAGTTCCCCAGGTTGGGTTTGAACTTTTGATTCTCCTGCCTCGGTCTCCAGAGTACTGGATTAGACTAGTTAGATTCTGTTTTTGAAAGGATAACCTGCACCCATTTAGGGTAGTCCAGAGCTCTCTGGAGGGTATTTGTGGCAGCGTAGTTATGTCCATGTTAGTGAATCTGATCTTCATAAAACACCATCACTGTCTTAATTCCCGGGTGCGTTCAACTGCAGGCAGCTTCTCCCTTTCCTTGGAACTTCTGGGTCACCACCTCCTTCTCTGGGTGTGTCTCCTGCTGCTCCCTAGCTCTGTGGCCGTGAACAAGTGACCTTACTCTCTTGTGTGTCACTCTTCTCCCCTCTGAAGGAGGAAGGAGGATGAGCGCAGTACTGCCGACTGTTAACAGCGCTCTTTACAGGCACCGAGGCTCCAGATTTTCATGTAGCAAAGCAGATCAGTCACACTAATTCTGCGCCTCTGGAATGCACGCTCCTCTGTTCCCAACTGTCCCTTTCTTTTTACCTTTTCCTCTTCAAATTCTGGAGAAGCTGCCTGCATTTTCACCAAACTCACTGCATCCCCTGGCAGTGAACCCATGTTAGGGCTTCCTTTACTCTGCAAGACCCCTGCCATCATCGGCTGTCACAGGAAATGTCACAGTGGGAGGTGGAAGCTCATAGCCCCCTGCACTTGCGTTCTGAATATCATCAATAGGCTGCAGGCTGGAGGTAGCTCCTACCCTGCCTCTCTTCCTTCTTCTCTTTCAGAACCTAGGCAGGATCTGGAAGGCCTGGAAGCTGCGAGGACCACACCCGCTCCAGGTAATCATCCTTGGTTTTCCCTGGCTTTCTGCCTGTCACTTGACCACACAGCTATAAAATCAATACACTGCAAGGAACCCTGGGGCTAAACCGCAAACGGAAGAAATCACTGAAGCCAATTTACCTTCACGTTCCCATCCACAAAAATGCACACAAAAGAACTCAAAAAGATTCATTAGCAGAAATAAATGGAAAACTGTCTTATAAAGAGTCGTATTTATAAAAATGCAGAAAACTACATTTGGTTGCCCATTTAACTCATTTGTAATTCCCCAATATCAAGATAGACACGTTTAATATTTGAAGATATTTTTTCCAGCCTCCTCCTCCCAAAGCATATCTATGATATGCATAAATAGGATAAACTTGAGTTCACTTTCCGGTTGTGATTTTCAGCCTCAGTTGTATTGTTGATACAATATAATGCTCTTCTCCTGACATATTTTTGTACAACATGAGTTGTAGTGGTTGCATAGTGATTCTTTATGTGGGAACATAAATTATTTAACCAAGTATTTATTACTATTTATTTTAATACAGCACCAAAGATTGAACCTGGGGTCTTCACACTGAGCTGCACTCCCCGTTTTTTTTATTTTGAGATAGGGTTTCAGGGAGTCACTAAGATCCCCAGGGCTTACTTGGACTTACTTGTGACCCTCCTACTGCAGTCTCCCAGGCGCTTTTGTTATTATGTATAACAGATATGCACTTTATTTAAGCCCACCCCCATATGATTAGTTCATTCAGTTAGATACCTAGAAATGGGATCACTGGACAAAGGCTAAAACTGAACAGTGTTACAGGTCACAGGAAGCACCTGCATTTAATTCAGAATAGACTTCAAAGTTTTTGTAGCCCATAATCAGGAAACAGAGGGGTGGAGGAAGAGTTTTGCTTGCCTAGAAGATCGTGTCCTGTGGGGGCTTACTCTTGCTACAATTTGCTTGGCCTATTCCTTTGCTATGCGCACAGTGCTCGAACAGCAACCCCAAACCCACTTATTTATTGCAAAGTGTTAACACTGCGATTAAATCTGAATACTGAGGTTTTCGTGTAGGAAAAAGAAACTTACACATTTGTTTCTTGTGCCAACAGACAGGGCTTTGTGTACCCACTGTGGCACGTGAGCCATTGGTTCATCCTGACGGGCATCGTCACTTGGCAGGCGCACAACTGTGAGCATGGCACAGGTGGTCTGGCATAGCTCCTGAGGGTCTATATGTAAAATGTCCCCAGAGGGCTCATGTGCTCGGAGGTGGGGCACTTGGAAAGGGACTGTGTCACTTACCGATTCATGGCTGAATGTGCTTAGGAGGTGGCTGAGGTGGCGGGTCACTAGGGGTATGACCTGGAAGGGTGAATTCTTGTCCCTAGCTCTCCCCTTTTCTCTCTTTCATTCTGTATGGGCTGTAAGTTTGTGGATCAATACCACCTACGACCAGGATGGTCTCTCTCCTCAGCTTACTGGCCTTCATGCCAGTCATCTCAGGAAACACCCCAAGAGACACCCAGAAGGGTGCCTTACTAATCTTCTAGGAATTTCCTCATACAGTGAGGTTGACCATCACAATAAATGGTCACAGAGAAGTTGGAAATGCTGTCAGAGAACTCATAGTCCCCCGGAACCTGCCTTGACGTCTGCTACTGCTTTTGTGTGCTAATAGTTGAATACAAAAACATCTGAACTCGGCCTTGACCATGTGTCTGTCGGCAAATCTCTTCTGAGCCCCCTTTTGGATCTGACACAGCAAGGTGTGCATTTTCAGGGTCTGCAGAGACTGATACCACAGCTAAGGCTGTAACCCTTATTCCTGCTGGCAGTAATGCTTCAGGACTGGCGGTGTCATCCACAGAAAGCAGTCCTGTGGAGACAACTGGCAGAGGTAAGCAGAAGTCAGACAACAGAGAAAGTTCTGTCCTGCCTGCCCCTGGAATCCCATGCTTTGGTCTTTGACAATGCACTTTCAGCCACCTTATCCGACTGTGACCCTCTCTTACAAGTGTGTGGAGAGGCATCTTCTCCCTCACTGAATAAGCACAGTCAGGCTCAAGGGGATATGGCCTGTCTGCTGACACGATGCTGCTATGAGGCTAAGCTGGGCACAGGAGCTCTAATCTTTTGACCTCCCTACCTGCTCTTACTGCTCTACTCTATTGACCCTGAAAGAAGAAGTCTAGCACCATTCATACCATTTTTTGTGGGAAAGAAAGAAATTCTTGGATTTTAACAGTCCGCCCCATGTCTTCTCCTCCCTCTGGTGCTGACCAAAGGCCCTGCTCCTCCTGTGAGGCTCACAGGCAGCTGGACACAGAGGAGTACTTTGCTGATGGCTAGGCAGGCCTGCCCTGGCAGCCAGCACAGAGCACTGGAGACAGCTGCACTCGACAGCTGTAGCAAAGCAGGAAGAGTAGACGGAAAATCACCAGACAGACCCATGCACAGAGAAGCCACAGACAGAGAAAAAGCCAAGGGTTCTGAAAGGCAGCCCACCTAGTGTGCTAATCTGATGTGGCCTGAGGACCCTCAGGAGGTGAGGCTGGGCCCGGTATTACAGCGTGGCCTGGGGAGCATCTCGCTCCTCATGAGACCCCATCTTTTAGGGAGACTTCATTAGGAGTCTGGTGGAGAACTGGACATTGGGCAGGAAAAGGCTCTCTAAGACACTTCTTAGGGTCCAGTTCTCTCAGCAGAACAGTGATCCAAGATGAGGGACACTGGGTGCCCTGGCACCACCCAGAGTTGTCCTTGTGCAACCTGGAATGCTGCCCTGCCCTTCCTTCCTCCCCTGACAGTCCCTGATCCTAATCAGTCTGTGACAGATCCACCTTTCTGCATGTGGGAAGAGAGGATGACACACACGTGATGGTGCAGCTGGGAGAGATGCTCTTCTGTCTGACATCTCGGTGTCCAGAGGAGTTTGAATCTTACGGATGTTACTGCGGGCAAGAAGGGGGAGGAGAGCCAAAGGACGTCCTGGACAGGTATGGCTGGGTGGAGGGAGGCATGCGAGTGGTGCAGATCTGCCTGCACCTGCAGAGCCCTCATGTTCAATGGACTTGGCTTTAGGTTCGGATACATGCTCTGTGCATCCCTCCGCTCTCAGAGTGGCTTCATGGTGGTATGGGCCGGCTTTCCTGATGAACAACTGAGGCTCACTCTTGATGTATCCAAGGTCATTCTCCCAGGACAGGGTCAAGCCGTAGCAATTCTGATCTCTTGATTTAGGAGGCTAGAGACCATGACCAAAACCACAATTGCTACTCCCCTGTGAGAGCTGAGGGACAAAGGGACTTCACCCCACCCCAGATCAACCTGTTTTACAGTCACCAACATGTAGAATTTGAATCTCCATTTAGTTTGCCCTGCAGTAGGCCACAGGGAAATCAGTTTCTCAACAACTTTTATGTAAAACAGCTACATTTTGTGTCTACCACTCTTGAAAGAAATTTTACTACCCGTGTATATTTATTAGCTTATTTATTCATTCGCAAATGCATCCAGTCTAGATTTGCTGTGGTTTTGCTCTGTGCCAGACACTACACTAGGTACTGGAGGTACAAAACAATGCAGAAAAATATAAACAATAAATGAATGCTTGGGCCCATGTAAAGTTTTAAATGGAGAAAGAGATGGACAATTTGATAAAAAATATTGCCCAGCATAATAAATATAATAGAAGAAACAGATATAGAGTCTCCACTCAAGTTTGAGGAATATTTAGGAAGTACAATAGGTAACTTTATAGGCTGGAAAGATCTACATTCAAAGGGCAGGGTGTTCGCCCCTCGGGAGCAGTGTGGGGGTCAGAGCTGAGAAAGGCTGAGTGTAAGGATGTAAAGGCAGGAGTGCAGGAGTACAGGAGTGTGGAGCGTGTGGGCTGCCGTAGGCCAAGCTGCACCTGAGGCAGGCTTGCTGGGTTATGCACCCACCACCCAACTCCACCTTGGTGCTTTCCCCCAAGTTCACGGTCGGACTGACCTTTATCAACCTGTGTGGGCTTCCAGGGCAGGAAACTTGTACTAGGAGACCCTATAGAAGCATAAACTCTAGGCCTGGTGGCATATACCAGCACTCTGGGAGGCTGAGGCAGAAAGATGACAAGTTCAAAGCCCAGTCTGGGCACGCTATCAATTTAATTACACTGTCTCAAAGAAAAAAGTAAAAATAAAAAACAAAGTGGGGGGAGGCAGTTAGGGATAAAGCTCAGGTGTGAAGGGTTTGGGTTTAGTCCCTACTACTAAAAAAACGTAAAGGAAGTTTTGTTATAGCAAATTTTATGTTGACAGTGTCAAGATTCCTCAGGCCATAAGAACCCGGCCAGCAGTAGCCTCTGAGAGGAAGCAGGGATGATGGTGAAGGTAAACACTGACCATATTTCACAAAAATAGGAAATGTGACCAGCCAGGAAATGAAGGTACAGTATGGCTTCCTGCCCACCACTGGAGGAAACCAGAAAGCCAAAACCATAGGAGGACAGGGTTAGCCACACTGGTGTCATGTCTTGCAGGGTGTGTTCCCAACTGCAGGTACAGAGTACGTCAGACACCACGTCAGGGACTGCTGAGAGAATATCCATTATCTGTGACTTGCTGACTTTGGGGTGTAACTGTTAGGTGAAGTGTCTTCCCATCTCCATCTGGCAAAAGCTCAACAGGATCCCATGATTCTGTTACGGCAGCAGCCTGTTATGAGCCAGGCACTGACCTTTGCCATGGGCTATGGGAACATGCGAAGTGTGTGGTTCCTCCAACTATACACAACAAGGTCAGTATAGCTGATGCCTGGCTGGAGACAAACAAGAGCTGCTAAAAGCTGCAAGAAAGGCCAGACGGGGTAGTGGCTCAAGCACTCTGGGAGGCTGAGGCAGTAGGATTGCAAGTTCCAGCCAGCCTAGGCAACTTAGTGAAACCCTGTCTCAAAATTAAAAAAACAAAAAAGTTAAAAGGGCTAATAGCATAGCTCAGGGGAAAGGCTCTGGGTTTAATCTCCAGTACTGGAAAGGATCAAAAAAAAAAAAAAAAAAAAGCTAAAAGTTGTAAGTCTCCAGGGGTGTTGAGAGACATTCAAGGACCAGGAAGAGTTGGAAAGAGAAGACTGGGGAGCAGTCATCCCTGGAGGTCTCTTGCCGTCCTGAGGATGTCCTTCTGGCTGTGGGGCTCTGAAGATGGTGGCTGCATTGGGACACGCAGGAGCATTGACAAACAAGACACGATTCCTTCCTACATTCACTGAGGCCCTGTGCTACACTAAGCATTTTTTACAGTTCTTTATTTACAGAGACTAACGGCTGTCTAAGACTGAGGGCTCAGGGCGGGTGCCCTACAGATGTAAGATCAACTATTCTACTTTGAGAAAGGCTGGACAGAGTCAGGGCACTGCTAGCTCCCAGGAAGCCTTCCTATGAGATGGAAAAAAAAAAAAAAAGACTCCATTCTGAAAGTATCCCTTTCTTAAAGACTCCATTTTTCACCGATAAATATGCAAATCAGCCACACTGTCATCAACAGCATCATAATGAGAATACAAGAAAAAACTGTAACTAATGAGCTGCATATAGTGTGATGGATGCTATCTTAGAGATGGCATCTTTGTGTAGTACACAACCCAACCCACCATACACAATCAGGCTGGGCTGTGTATAGGTCAGTCCTGTGGGTCCTGGACGGGAGGCACTGGTTTCTTCCACTACTCCAGGAGTGTGGGTAAAGAAGGCCAGGTCAGTGGGGAGCTCTGGGTAGTAAAGGGTTCTCTTGGTCATAGGTGCTGTCTGTCCCATCATTGCTGCCTGGAGCAGGTGAGAAGGCTGGGCTGCCTGCCAGAGAGACGTCCTCGGTCCACAGTGCTGTGTGTGGACCGAACACCCAAGTGTAAGTATGGTTGGCTGGGCAGTCAGTTGTGTCCTCCTACAAGTGGGCATCTGGCCAGAGCTCAGCTTCTGAATGCCTCCCCAGCACTCTGTGACATGACCCTCACTTTTCCCAACACTGAGACACACACCCTGACACCAGTTCCACAACCTGGCTCCAGTGGCAAAGCCTGAGCCAGTTGCTTTAAGTCACCAAGCTGGTTAAAGCCCCTGGAGCAATCTGCAACCCCATGGGAGGCAGCACTGGTGCTCCTCCCATTTCACAGAGGCTGCAGGTGACAGGCAGAAGGAAGAGCTGGGATCTGGATCGTGAAACCTGCTCAGATCTCCAGCGACTCTTCATCTTCCCCTTGTCTGTTCCTGAGAAGTAGACCCCTTTCCCAAGTGAGGACTTCTAGGGAACCCCATTAAAAGGGGGGCAGGTCTGGTTAAGGGGAGAGGTGGCCCTCAGCTACGTGCTTCCCTAGGGTGGAAACCAGGGTCTCCTACAGCACTCAAGGCCTCCATTGGGGACAGTCTGAAAATTATCTCGCCGTAGTGAACACATAAGAGCTCACTTTAGAGTTGGCCACACTCAGCTGCACTTGCTTTTTGAACTCGACAGCAGGTGCACTTCCTTCACACTCTGCAACTTAAAAGAAGAAGCTTCCCTTGGAATCTCACAGGAGCTCTAGAAAGGCTTGTTCTCCTCTTCATGTTTGTCTCCTCCTCCGGCCTCTGCTCTCTCTCTCTAGCTCTGTGCTGTCATTTACGGCCAACACACCCTGGGAGGTGTGTTCTTACATGTCATTCACTCATCCATCCAGCATTCCACTTCCCAACAGACCCTCATTGGTGATTAGGAAAATAGCGAACCTGCACAAACCTGGTTCGAAGCGCTCACAGCCTGAGGGAGGGACCGGAAGTAGCAATGTGCTCCCGGAAGTATGCACTGCCCAATCAGCAGGGTGGTGAGATTTGACAGGAGTTGAAAAGTAAAGGAGAAGTCTAAGCCAAGAGGAAGGAGAGATGCCATGTCTTGGGAATGCTAGGCATCCCATTTAGGAATAGCACTGGGTCTGTATTGCAGGGGCTGAAAGGAGGGATAGAGGCCTGGTTGTGGTGTAGGGTGAGGCTGGGGGAAACAGACATCAGATCATAAGCTCTGAAGACCCATGAGCAAAAGAAACAGTTTTTCCTATGGGGGAGAGGAGATTCAGGTTACACCTCAAAGTTGGAGGCTCCTTAGCTGCTCCTCCAGGAGCTCAGGGTCTGGGAAGCCTGCAAAGCAGTTAAGCTTCTACAGAGCATCTAAGTCCAGGGCCTGTGTGAGCTGTGAGCCCTGGACCTTGGGTCTAGATGATGGGAACTGAAGCTCCTTCCTCAGTGCCCAGCGTGTGCTGTCACCATCTTAGGTACAGGGAGGACGGTCACTTGGGAGCCCAGGCCTTAGTATGTCTCACTCTGTCTGACCCCAGCAGTACCCTCCTTTCCTCCTCCTGTTTCCTGCTGCTGAAATGTAACCAACATATCTGGGGTCTATGTGGAGGCCAGTGGAGGGGGCATAGAAAGTCTATGTGATAGAAACAGAAAACATGACGGCCATTCACAGTGAAAGTAACAAACTTTTAACTTCAAGTGAAAACTGCAGACACAGGGGACTCTGTTTGTAGAAAGTGCCTCTGTGTCCAGCATCTCCACCATGCTACTCCTCCATATGCAATCTGTGTATTAAAGAAAAGAAAGACAGTGGGCTTGAGTTAGCAAACACAAATACATAAAGCCTTGCTAAGTCCGAATTTCAGACAAGTAGTAACTTTTTAGTAAAAGTCTGTTTTCAGTGGACATACTTTCAGACATATTACCTGAAATTCACATTTAATTGACCATTCTGTGTTGCATCTGGTAATATTACCGTAGGGTAGACAAGAAATTTAATTGGACTGAGAAATGCCGGTCTAAAGATGCACTACTTCAGGCCAACAATATTGCTCAGCACAATCATGGGAAATACTAGCTGAGAATAAGTGCATGGATAGATGCAATCCGCCTTCAAAGTTCTCTGTCCAACAAGACAGAAAGGCAAAAACAGAGATAATTACTGCATGGTAGGATTAATTCTTAACCTGCTGTGAGGGAAAGAGCTGTGGAGGATGGGGATGGGGACCCACAGGAAAGACATTTCCTTTAGCCTTTAGCCTGGGGCTCAGAGAAGCTTTCTGGGGAAGAAGATGCCAAGCTGAATCTATGCAGGGGACGGTGAGGCCACCAGGAGAAAACAGACTATTCCTGGCAGAGGTTTCCTTTCCTGGAGGGAATGGTTGCATTGCTACCAGCAGCTTGTACACCAGAGGTGAGGTGGAGGAAAGGCAGAGAGGGCTATGGGCAGGGCTGAGGGTGGGCAGGTGACCACGAAGTCCTTGTGTGTCTCACATGATGCCTCATGTCGACCGTTCTACTCTTGTCCTATAAGGTGTGGGGCAGAGCCTGTGCGAGAAGCTGCTCTGTGCCTGTGACCAGACAGCGGCCGAGTGCATGGCCTCTGCCTCCTTTAACCAAAGTCTGAAGTCACTAGATGAACACCAGTGCCAGGGCAAGCAGAAGTCATGTGAGGACAGCGTGCTGGGAGGGCGCTCAGTCTCTTCTGTTGGCTCCAGCTCCGAGGAGACCAGTGAGGAGGCCACAGAAGGCGTCAGAAGGCGCAGATCTCTGAGACAGCAACTTGGTCCCTCGGTGGCCAGGCTGCCTCATGGAAGTTAGATGAACTTCCCACAGAGCATGGCAAACACACCCTACAGTTCTGCTCTGCAGTCCTCTCTGTCCACTCAGAGACAGAGCAGGAGATTGCCGGCCACACAATTCTCGTTGTGCACTGGCACCATGAGAAGGCAGATGGCAGGTGCTTCTGCATGTCCTGTGTGTACTATGGCTGTCCAATAAAAAACCTAACCCATCACCTGTGTTCGTTTTTTACAAAATCTTTACTTGTAAGTACTGGTGTGTACGTAGATTATAAAGGTTAGATGACAGACACAACAAAGGAAAAATATCTCAAATTTCTGTGAAAGCTATTTTGTTTCTTTTTTTAAAGAAACTAGAGTATATTCAAGGACCTGTGGTTCACCAGTCACCAACTAATGATGCTTGTTGAGGAGATGATGGCTCTTTCGATACGTGCCCTAAAACTCATTTGTGGCCCTAGTTTTTAAGACAGCAACTATTTGCACCGTGAGAAATCACCAAACTTGAGTTTTTAAAAATAAGGTTTATCCCAGTGACTGAAGTTTGGGAGTGCAAAGTCTCCCCCACTACCACAGGCAGTTTAATACTATGGTAATTGTAAAAAACTGGAATTCTAACCAACCCTCTCCCTGCCCACTCACCCAGGAGTTAGTCAGAGATCTTACTGCATAGCAGGCAAAAGGAGAACCTGTAATGTTGATGGGCACAAAGACTTTTTGATTCACATCATGTCTTTGGCTCTCAGATCTCAAAATTCACATGTTCTTAGTGCAGTGGTCCTGAGTCTCTGCCTGCTCTGCAGACAGGTCGGAAAGCAGAGCTTACCAGTGTTTCATGGTAAGAAAGTATTCTGAATTCCATAACACCTTAAATCAACACTAGGGAGACACGGAGGGAGAGGGCAGTCACCTATATCAGTCCTTAAAATGACAAAGCAGAGGCTGGTCATATACGGCATGGCATCTGCTGCCTCTGATACAGTACTTGCTGCCTGGCTCCTCTCTCCTCCCTTTAATCCCACAAGAGCTTGCTAAAGGTCCCCTCCCCGCAGCAGTCATTGCTAGGCCGGTGCCACTGGGCATCTCCACCTCACCTGAGGAAGGAAGTTTGGCTGAGGGAAAGATGCAGCTGAGCAGACTCATTTCACTCGATGTTCATGACCACAAAACCTCAGTGGAGGCTCAAACTTTCTTACTAAGCTGCTGACTTTCCTGATGTCCAAGGTAATTGTCTGGTACCTTTTCTTCTGTCCAAGCTTCCCTGTTATTCTGCTGCTGACTGCCAAGAAAAACGAAGGTTTTAAGACCTTGCCTCACTGGCAATTTAACAGGTTAGTGAGCAGTCCTGGGTGCTGGTGAGAGAGATAGATGACCTGGGAGAGACAAAAGGCTTCCTGACAGCAACTGTGCTAACCCGAGAGCATTTACCCTACTCCCCCAGCCTAGAAGCAATCAGAGGGCAGGGGACATCCAGACCCTAAGTACAAATGATCCTCACAGCATCACCACGCTGTGGACTGCATTACAGAGAGCCGGAACGAGAAGAGAGCTTAGTGGTGATTCCTTCCCAGAAAGCACAGGATTCAGGTGTGCCCCTTCACTCTATAAACCAGTCATGGGAGGAGCGGCTCTTCTCTTCTCTTAGTTTATAAGCTTTCTAGCCCATCTTCAGCTCTCAAGTCCTTTTCTAAGAAAACATTGTGAAAAGGGGAGCAGGCAAACACTCCAATAAGATGCTCTTCTCCCTCCTCAGAATATTTTCCTGGCCCTTTTACAGACCTTTTTTCTAAAGCTACAAGGCCCAGGAGCCTCCACTGCTAATTTCTCATTGAATCTCACTTTCAAGTATTCTTCAAATGCTTTTTGACTTCTCAATCACTCCTGATTCTCTGTCATGGGCCAAAATATTCAACTTCCCTCTGGTTAATGTTACCTGGCTGCCCATGAGCACTTAAACTCAACCCAAAGTGGGATTCATGAAAGAATCAGTCCCTTCCTCAGGAAGCAGAATGTCTGAGCATTTCCTGTCCTCCAGTAACATCAGTCTAACAAGACATAAAAAGTAATTGGGAGAAGCAAACCTGGGACAAGACAGGAGCCATGCCAAATAGAAGGCTACTAGGAAACAGTAAAGACAACCTCAGCAGGAAATGGGCAAGAGATTTAAGTAGATATTTCTACACAGACATCAAAATGGTCAACAGACACGTGGAAAGATGACCAGCATCATTAGTGACTGGAGAAATTTAAATGAGAATGAGATGCCACACCAACTGGAATGGCTGTCACGGTCTAGTAGTCCCTCAAAGAGTTGCCCGGAGCACTTCCACTCTGGTACACTGGCCAAATGAAAGCATGTTCATAAACATGCATCATAGCACTGTGCAACCAGACAAAAGCAGAAACTACCACCACATGTTTATCAGCTAATGAATGGACAAACTACAGTATATTTGCAAAACAGTATGCTACTGGGTCCTAAAAGTAAAAAAATTCTATATTTGCTACAATATGGATCGGCCCTGAACCACGCTAAGTGAAAGAAGCCAGACAAAATAGGCCACTTACCCTGAGATCCCGCTCAGAGGAAACGTTTAGGATTATTTATACAGACAGGATGCTGACTGGTGCTTCAGATGTCATATTTAAACTTTCTCCCCCCCATTTTTTTTTCATTAGTACATGTCTGCAGTACACAGTGATCATCTTCCTCATGGAAAGTTGGTACATAAACATAACACACTCCTTCCCCTGCCCCTCCATTCCTTGGTATCCTCCCACTTCCTTCCTTTCATTTGGTTCATTAATAGTTTGAGGTTTTCATGTTAGAAAAATCATGTAATATTTAAACCTGTTTGTATCATTTACAGTGTACCACTGACCTCAACTGGTTTGTGAGGGCTGGTTGTAACTCGACGAGGTTGTAAATTAAGACTATTTTTCCTATAAGAAACACTGGAAATATTCATAATGCATCTGAATTCTTTCAAAGCACCTCTTTACTAATCTTTTCATAATAAAAAGGGCTGCATAATGTGCATAATTTACCAGAAACATCAACCATTTTCCTACTGTATTCAGTAAGAAATTTGTAAAATGTGCCTAGCTTACCAGAAACAATTTTATACTGTACTCACCATTCAAGTTCACATCTTTGCCTTGCAGGAAGGGAGGGTGAAATGGGAGGTGGTGGTTTTTTGGAAGGAGACCCCTTCCACAGTATCAGAATCTGGCTCTCTGATGTCCTTTCTCTCCTTGGGAGAAGCTGTAGCCCATTGGACCTGCTGCTGGTCACTAGGTCTCAATCTTTTCAGAACTAAAAACTGGTCTAGGGGCTGGGATTTAGCTCAGTGGCATAAGCACCTGCCTTGCAAGCAAGCAGTCGTGAGTTTGATCCCCAGTACCGATAAATTTAAAAAAAAAAATAAAAACTGGTCTAGTGTTGCCTGTTTCTGTCTTTAACACTGTCCTGTACTAAGACATGGCATTGGCATTAAGCTGGTGAATGCAACAATAGGTATTTCTCTGCTTGGTGGATCTTCTCTACGAATGTTTGTAGCTGTCAATTTTTTCAGGATTTCCTTTATTTCAGAGAACTTCGCTGCACTGATTGTTGGCACTCCCCCTCCTCTTCAGAAAGCTCCTCAGCTACTCTTCTCTGTTGTTCAGTCAGAAGTTGCTGAAGCTCCTCTGTAGACAGCCCTTGAGTGTTCCTCCTCCAGTTCCTCAGCATCAGCACTGTCTACCTGCCACCCCATGGACTCTGCTGCAGTGACAGTGTCACCAACCACAAGGTCAACTGAAGGCACAGGTTTTCTATACAGCCTTCAGTCTCTCCTGTATAACTAGGCCACATTTTTTCCAGGCAGGTCTCAGTGTCCTCAGACACACTGGCCCAGGATTTCTCGATTAACCCATACAGGAAAGGATGCTCTAATGTTCCTTTCAGAGCCGTTTAAGGGTTAAATCTGTGTCTGTGACTTATGGAAGCACTTCAGGAACAGTTCCTTGGTTCATAGCTTCAAATCAGCTATAACTTGCTGGTCCCTAGGTGGCAGTAAGAATCCCATCAGGTAGGAGGAATTTAAGAGCCATGGGAATTCTTTTTTTTTTTTTTTTTTTTGTCTTTTTCATTTTTATCGGTACCGGGGATCGAACTCACGACCGCCTGCTTGCAAGGCAGGTGCTTATGCCGCTGAGCTAAATCCCCAGCCCTGCCATGGGAATTCTTGAGCTAGTTCTTGCAAATCTCATGGGTGAGCAGGAGCACTGCCCACTATACAGACAGGCCTGAGGGATAAACCTTTGTCCTCTAGACATTTCTCAACAGCAGGACAGAAAGCCTCCCTGGTCTACTCAAGAAAAAGTGCTCATTGGATATCCAGGCTTTTGCGCTAGATCTCCACGTGGCCCCTTCCTTACTCCCATGACTTTGCTTTTCTGTGCACTCCCTAGTCTCACAGTGATGAACCCAGCAAGGCTTCACCTTGAGCTCACTGAACATCTTTCCAATCTGCTTTTATTATCTCTTCTGTGACCCTTTCAAATAATTAACCTGTGTGGCTTTTCATTTCCTCTCCTTCAATGCTCCATGGATTGTGTCTGGGGTAGCTGGGAGGTTTTACAGGCATTTTTGCTATCTTTTTATGTTACTATTTTTGTTACTCTGTGACTGTTTTTGTTGTACTGTGCAGAGGCTTACAAGTGCTTTGTAAAACACTGTTGCTACCATGGAGACCTCTTTATTGTCTGCTTTTCAGTGATGCACCCTGCCTGTGGCAAGCAGTAAGCCTTTGCTTCTATCCCGAAAGGAACCATCTGTTAATTTGGGAGGGCAGAGTGCAGTGTACCTGGCCATCGCTCACTTCACCATTCACCAGGAAGGGATCGCAGTGTTATCAATGACACAAAGGTTATCTGGATAGTGGCATACAAAAAACCAGTTAGCAACAGCTATGCCTCTCTGCCATGCAAAAGTAAACCAGCAACACCACTGCGGCTTGCTGCTGCCCGCTTACCCTGACGTGGCCGTTTTCTCTGCCTTTGCAGCCAACTGATTATGGACTGAAATCTCTGTGAACTGCGAACTAAAAAACAAACCTTTCTTTCTTTAACTACATAACAGTTTACCTGGGGCTTCACTGAGGCAGTGTATTTATGTGTAATCCTGAGCATCACTCAGACAGGCATCCTTCCAACCAGATGAATTTTGTTTGTGGCAGATACATTCACATATCAGATTATATTCATTATTATTTTTGCACTTTCCTATTTAGAATTTGCCACTGATGTTTGTTTCTAGTGCAATCTAAAAAATTTTGTGTTTGTGAGAAATATTGTAATTAGATGTAATTTCTATACTTCTCCAGAACTCAGTGATACGATTTTATGATGTAAAACACATGCATTTGAAACACAGACTGAATAGGAAGTACAAAAAACTTGCAAATGAAAAATTGAAAAAAGGAGAAATGTTAGCATATCAGAGAAGGAAAGTCTGCTACGAAACAGATCAAAAAAGGACTTGTCCTTACTGTCAACTATCATGAAACAGAAATGACAGAACTTGAGAAGACATGAAACAGAAAATTCTAAAAGCAGTTCAAGAGTCATACTATTTCTCTAGGTGGTGCTGACAGAGTTGGCTACCATCTAACAAGGTGGCCCATAATGAAAACGCAAGGAAAATATTTATGAACCTTCTGGACCAAACAGTATGGCATTCATCTGGTATTTATTCAGAACAAGGGGGTTCAAAGTCATCTACAATTTAGGTCTAATAGACCAAACAATGGAAACACATGGGATAGTGAAACACCAACAAGGACCACTATCACTGACAACTTATTCATTATGCCTAGTGGGTATTTTACTGAAATTGCACCACCCACAGAGAGGAAAAGGGTCAATACAACAGTATAAAGTGTGTTGTTCAAAGAAATAATGCAAAAAAAAAAATTAGAAAGATACTAGCTACTACTTTCAAGATTGTAATGTTGTTTTGCATTAAATGTTTTAAGATCTACTATGCACAGAATATTCAATAGATTGGATAAAATTTTCAACTATCTATTACCTTATAAAATTAATGAGCACATGCAATTTTTGATCACTCTGTATTGAAATAAGTGGACTTGGCAGTGATTAACTTGTGGGTGTCAGGTATTTTGTCCCAGCCATCAGAAAATAACCAAGACGAGACCCTAGTGGTAATGCGCAGTGACTTTAAATTCAGCTTTAAATTCATTCAATGCTCTCATTCACATAAAAACTTTGAGT